GATGTATGACTAAACAAAATATAGAAGTTCAAATTTAAAAATTTTCAACATAACACATGAAAAGGGACAAAAACTGATATGATATATTTGAGTCATGAATTCAGTTTTACACACATTGAAAGTGTTTAAATATTAAAACTGACTAACACCTAATTGAGTAAAACAAACACTAAAATATAACTAAGCTAACAAGTACACATCATTTTGTTGAACAACTTACTTTTTTTTTTTAATATAAGCAACCTTTAACCAAACTTATAAGCAAAACAAAAAACTATAGAGACTTTTAAATATTTAATTATGACAATGGAAAAATCTCAACTATCAACAAAAACATGTTTGGATACAAGCCTAGAAGGGCTTTTAAGAACTTCTATACTAAAAATATTTATTTTCAATTGAGAAGCTCTCAAAAGTCTTTCTAGACTATGTAAACAAGCTCATAGCCATAGAAGATTAGAGATAGATATATATGTAGTATTCAAAGGACATACACAAGATAGACAAATTTGCTAAAGAAGTTATGGTATGACTCTTACCTAGAAAGTAATATTTAATCTGCAGGTGGGAGATAGGGGTACAAAACTCTCAGGAGGTCAAAAGCAGAGAATTGCATTGGCTCGAGCAATGATCAAAGATCCTAAAATCCTTCTTCTAGACGAACCTACAAGTGCTCTTGATGCTGAGTCAGAGTCTGCGGTCCAACGGGCCATTGACAAGATATCTGCAGGCCGAACAACCATTGTGATTGCTCATAGGATAGCAACAGTGAAGAATGCTCATGGCATTGTGGTTCTTGAACATGGTTCTGTCACTGAGATCGGTGACCATCGCCAGCTTATGGCGAAAGCAGGAGCATACTACAACCTTGTCAAGCTTGCTACCGAAGCCATTTCAAAACCTCTAGCTATAGAAAATGGCATGCAAAATCCCAATGATTTATCCATATATGATAGATCAATTGCTGGTTTATCAGGATCAAGATATGTAGCTGATATCCCAAGGACTAAAGACTTACTGGAGGAGGAGAAACAAAAAGACATGGAAGATAAGCAAGACAAAATGGCAAGAAAATACAGAATTTCTGAAGTATGGAAATTGCAAATGCCTGAGCTTGTGATGCTTTTTTCAGGACTTATTCTGGGAATGTTTGCTGGTGCTATCCTGTCCCTTTTCCCATTGGTTCTGGGCATATCATTGGGAGTATATTTTGGCGACAGTGATAAGATGAAAAAAGATGTTGCACACCTTTGTTTAGTACTTGTTGGCCTTGGATTTTGTTGTATACTCTCCATGACAGGACAACAAGGTTTGTGTGGTTGGGCTGGATCAAAGCTGACACAAAGGGTTAGAGACCTCTTGTTTCAATCCATATTGAAACAAGAACCTGGGTGGTTTGACTTTGATGAAAACTCCACAGGAGTGTTGGTGTCAAGGCTCTCATTAGACTGTGTTAGTTTTCGTTCGGTGCTTGGTGACAGATTCTCAGTCCTTCTTATGGGGCTGAGTTCAGCTGCTGTTGGTCTTGGTGTGTCCTTTTTCTTCAATTGGAGACTAACCCTTGTGGCCGCTGCTGTAACTCCTTTCACACTTGGTGCAAGCTACATAAGCTTGATCATAAACATTGGACCACGAGTGGATAACGACTCTTATGGCAAAGCTAGTAACATTGCTTCTGGTGCAGTTTCAAACATAAGGACGGTTACTACATTTTCTGCCCAGGAACAGATAGTTAAGTCCTTTGATAGAGCCCTGTCAGAACCTAGGAGGAAGTCATTAAGAAGTTCACAAGTTCAAGGTTTCGTATTTGGGTTATTTCAAGGTGCCATGTATGGAGCATACACCTTAACTCTGTTGTTTGGTGCATTTCTTGTAGAACATGACAAGGCAAAACTTGGAGACGTGTTCAAGATTTTTCTCATTCTTGTTTTGAGCTCATTTTCTGTAGGACAACTAGCTGGTTTGGCACCAGATACTTCTATGGCGGCTACAGCAATTCCTGCAGTTCAAGATATCATAAAACGTAAGCCACTGATTGACAATGATAGAACAGAAGGATGGAAGGTAGAGGGATCAAAGCCGTTCAACATTGAATTCAAGATGGTCACATTTGCATACCCTTCTAGGCCAGAGGTGACTGTTTTGAGGGATTTCTGTTTAAAGGTCAAAGGTGGAAGCACAGTGGCTTTGGTGGGACCAAGTGGATCAGGGAAGTCAACAGTCATATGGTTGACACAGAGGTTCTATGATCCAGATCAAGGAAAGGTGATGATGAGTGGGATAGATTTGAGGGAGCTTGATGTGAAGTGGTTGAGGAGGCAAATGGCTTTGGTGGGTCAAGAACCTGCATTGTTTGCTGGGAGCATAAGGGACAATATTGCATTTGGGGACCCAAATGCTTCATGGGCTGAAATTGAAGAGGCTGCAAAGGAGGCTTACATCCACAAGTTCATCAGTGGCCTTCCTCAAGGTTATGAAACGCAGGTAATAATTCTATGGAGAGGTAACGTTATTTACAACTAGTAAAAATTTATTGAAAATTATAAAATTATGAGCAAAGATCATTAAAATTAAATAAGTAAGACCTAGAAAATTTTATGATTTTGAATAAATTTCAGTCAATAACAAATAATATGTTTTTAAAAGTGTGTTGCTAACATTTAGGATTTGTTAAGGTAAATTTCTTTATAAGTACTAGTAGAGCAAAATATGAAGGAAAAATTAAATAAGTTTTCCCATAAATTAAAATTAATTTATGTATAAACTAATTTGTAGAAGTTCTCTCTTATTAGCCTTTTCAAAATCTCATTTTTAACTCATGCTATCATGAATAAACTAGTTTTAGTTTATAGTGAAGCTTAATTTGATTTTTCTCTTCTAGAAGTGCTTCTGGTGAATGTTATCCAAACAGACTCTAGTCTAAATCATAACCTGCTATGATACATCACTTTTTACCCAAGTTTTATTCATTACGTACTTATTGAATTGTATTAGTAGCTTTACTATAAATCATTAGTTCATAACTAACTTATGCTGCAGCACTTTTTTACATGATTTTTTTAGCACCCTTTTCTATTAAAAAAGCATATGATTTATTTTCTCATTTTCTCTATACTAGGTTGGTGAAAGCGGGGTCCAGTTATCAGGTGGCCAGAAACAAAGAATTGCTATAGCAAGGGCCATATTGAAGAAATCAAGAGTGCTTTTACTTGATGAAGCAAGCAGTGCCTTGGACTTGGAGTCAGAGAAGCACATCCAAGAGGCCCTTAAGAAGGTTACCAAAGAGGCAACAACCATAATAGTTGCTCACCGTCTTTCCACAATCAGAGAAGCTGACAAGATCGCAGTTATGAGAGATGGGGAAGTGGTGGAGTATGGGAGCCATGATACTCTCATGGCTTCAACTCAAAATGGCTTGTATGCTAGCCTAGTTCGAGCTGAGACTGAAGCCAATGCCTTTTCTTAATCCTAATGATCATTAGCCTGTAACATTGTTGTGAACATAGCAATTCTGATACAGCACAATGGCCCATTGGTTAAATCAATTGGAGAAAAATAGAAAAGAAAGAACACACTTTAATTTGTTTGGGCTGTTTTGAAGAGTGGATCATACAAATTACAACATGTGATTCTATCTTTTGGGTCATCTTTCTTTTCTTTTTCAAATAAAAACAAATTGTATTATTTATGTGCCACTTGATTATGTAAATTTCTAAAGGAAATACTAAACGTCATAATTTACTTTCTTTTATAAGACCTTTTCTTGTTTATGGTAGAAGAATGACTATGCATATGCATGCTCAATGGAAGGGGATAATAATGAAGTTAGGCCATGCAATAAATAGCCATGAGCGTATCCTTAACTCTTTCAGTGGGTACATTGCCTCTAACTAAAAACGACATGTGACCAGAATGAGCCCCACCAACATCAAGTAGTCTATAATATCCATTAAATTGCTAGCCAGGTTAGCAGGCATAATTCTTTGGTAAAGTGGCCGATTTATTATTTCATGTCTCACAAAAAGTGCTTCATATTTCCCACGCGCAAGTGTGTTGTTGTTCCATGGTTTTCAAGCCAAGAGAGTTTGATGCTAACGTGCCTGCAATAAAAGATATTTACATAATCTTGGTTAAGCCACTGGAAAAGCAATCAGAAGCATCTGTTTTAGAAGCCTACTAGTTATCGTTTGTCCTTTCTGGGTGTGCAGAAGTTCTTACAACCCTTTCACAAACCAGGCCTCTTTGATTTTTCTCTTGCACACTTCTCTTGGCACTTCTACTCTGACTTAGGTAACATAATAATTATATATACATATACACATACGTTTGTACATGTTCACATGCAAACACATATTTATCTATATATTAAAATCTTTTTCCAATGTTTTGCTGCTAACTTTATTTTATAATTTTCTTGTTTTGAATATCACACATGATAAGATTGGCAATTTCAGTTTGCTACATCTTTGCAACATTATTTGGACATTTAATGGAATTAGAAAACTAAAATAGGTTGGTTTCCACCTTAAATAGTCTTAGAACCTATATAAAAAATGAGTCTATTTGCACAGAATTACAGAACTACCTACCAAAATGTATTAATTTTATTTGATTTGCAGTTCCTTATCTAATACATTTGACATGCAATTTTGTTGACTCCGTGAACAATACAATACACAAAAAAAAAGAAGGTGAAGAGGCATGGCATCCCTCATTCCTGGAGTTCTACTGAAGCTTCTCCAAAGTATGGATTCTGATATGAAAGTTCATGGGGAATATAGATCAGTCCTTCTGCAGGTGATTAGCATTGTGCCTGCAATGACTGGGTCTGAATTATGGCCTAACCAAGGTTTCTTCTTGAAAGTCTCTGACTCTTCTCATTCAACTTTTGTCTCACTCTCAAAGGAAGACAATGAGCTTATCTTGAATAACAAGTTGCAGCTTGGTCAATTCTTTTATGTGGACAGGATAGAGGCTGGAACACCAGTCCCTATTCTTGTTGATGTTAGACCAGTACCTGGCCGGCACCCTTTTGTTGGAAATCCAAAGGATTTAATGCAAATGTTGGAGCCATCAGAGGGTCCAGTTCAATCTGATGATAACCATAGAGTTAATGGTTCAAAATCCATGAATTCAACAAAAACCAAAGAGGGAAGAAGTCCAAGGCAGAAGATTGTTATTAAAGAGGAAAAAGCTGCTGTTTCATCCAGGTACATGCGGGGAGTTAGAAGTCCTAAGTCAAATGTGAATGTGCAAGATACTGATGAAGAAAGAAAAGGAAATGATTTTGAGAGTGGTGTTGAATGTAAGAAGGTGGGATCTGCAAAAATAAAACTGCAAAAATTACAGGTCAGCTATGATTCTTATCTTGGATTTGCATTTTTTAAGGCTTATGGTTTCAGAGCCTGGCCTTTATATAGTTATAGTATGGTCAGGATCTGAAAGCAGAATTGGAACAACTAAAACTGGTCCCTATAATGAAAATAATAAAGAATTTAAATGAAGAGAATAACAGGTGATTTTTGGATATAACCAGTTGAATAATTTATTTAACAGAATTAAATTAATTTAACCAATAACTTACCTATCACTAGCCATTTAACCACCTATGACTAGTTGCAACAGTGTCATAAACCCCTTGCTCTTTATAAGCAGACTGCTAGTTAAATAAGTTTGATATTTGGTTAAAGGGAATATTCATTTAGACAAAAATGTAGTGTCCTAACAAACATAAGAATGAGGACAGAAAGTGTTATTCCACGATCTTTTTCTGCACTGTAACTGAAATGTTTCAACTGCATTAATCAAGTTTAGTGCTGAATTGTATACTATGCTAAATAGGTAATAATGAAAATTAAGATATTGGTAATGACTGGTTTTGGCATCACAGTTACTTTCAGTGTCCACAACTCGTAGTCTATTACTTGAAACACCTTCACCAAAGCAAAGGGTTGCTCAATCTAACATTCAAGAGGCTGTCATGTCACCTTCTAAGCGCATATCTACAAAACGAAATTCTACAAAACACGAAACTACGAACATGAATGTTTTGTCCAGCAGTGAAGATAAAAGTTATATCACAGAGGCAATTCCATGGTCCTCTTTACCAGCCAACCTTCTAAGGCCTGGAAAGGTGCATTGCAATTTCTCTCCCTTCTTCAGAGTAATCTTTTTCTATTTTAAATATTATTATCACTATGCCAACTCACATTCAAATATTGAACAAGTTAAATCAAATGTCATCTCGTCTGTCTTATATGTTTAGTAAAGCAATGCTGTCTCAGCAGTTGCATGAATTTTTGTTGACAATCATGCAAATTTCCACATTTTACTAGGAATTGCTTAGAAGGAAACATCTAGCCTCGCTGGTTGTTTTAGAAGCTCAAAAAGAAGTTACTGCTACTGCAATCCTTGTCAAGTTCCTAAGGTATATTAAACTTATGGTCTTAATATTGTCACATTCCGTACTTAAAATTTAGCTACTTATGGAATTAAAAAGGACAAAAAAAAAATGTTTGCTATATTTACTGCCATTATAAAGGTTTTAGACTTATGCTGAGTGTGCCAACATTTATAGAGATTAAAATAATAAATGGTGTCCCATATACAAGGATCAGATTTTTGCCACTTAAATAATCCATTTATTTGCCTCTCTTTCTTTTCCAGTATGTTTGGCAACATCTGCTGTTCGGCTGCATCAGAGAACCCCCATATCACACTGAACAAGTTTTTTTCCTTCCAAGAACTCGTGAACCAGTCAAATGGTACAAGTACAACCCCACAATCACTTCAGCTACATAAAACTTCTTCTCCTGCAGAAATGGGCAAATCTGAGAAGAAATCAGTTCTAATGGCTGGTAAAAGTTCATCAAAGTCTCCAAAATACTCACCTGAATTATCCATTAATGAGAAACAAGAATGGACCAAAGGAAATTGTCTAGAAGAGATAAATCAGCTGAGAGAAGTTCTTTTGATTGAAACAAGATCATGGTTTCTGAAATACTTGGAAAAGACATTGGACATGTGGCTTTCAACAAGCTCCCAACAGAAGAGGGGAAAGATGAGTAAGGACACTGTAGGGAAACAAATGGAACATGCCAATCATATAGCTCTCACGTTGTCACACCTTAAGCAAGCAAATGAATGGTTGGAAAAGCTGAGAAGCACTTTAGAGCATGAAGAGCTGGTGGAAACTGTTGACAGATTGAAACAAAAAGTTTATTCTTGTTTGCTCCTACATGTTGACTCTGCTGCATTTGCTTTGGAAAACCGTGCTTGATTCTAGGATAATGACATGTTTTCAAGCAATATATTCTATTTAATGATATTTGTAAGTTAAATTATCTTATTTGGTTGATGGAAGCTGTTTTTCAAAATTTAATATGATATGATATCATATATGTATACTATTTGTGACAACAAGAAAAGGACTGGTGAAGTTAATAATATTAATTTGCTTTATAATGACAACAATGAACAACCGTTGAAGGCGTTCAAATTAAATCTAGTTGTTATGTGGTTTTCTGATTGACACACATTGTAAAGTGCAAGTGGAGCCACTCAAGCAGAAAAGAAAGCTTAAATTCAAGGAAGACTGGTGCCCCTCACAATATTTGACTTAAAAGTGGAAATCCAGAAATTAAGTAACACTTGGTTCCAATTGGAATCTTGATACATACTCACACAGCAATTGGAAGAACTTACCTTGTGTCTGACAAATTGGTTATAATCACATTGCCAACATTATAGTTGTAAGAGAAAGAATCCATGCTGGAGAAGTAGGACACAAGCTCAAAACTTAGATTTGGCACTCTCTGATTTTTTTTCTTTCATAAATACTTATAAGAAAAGAAAAGAAAAAATGTAAAATGCAATGAGTTGGTGGATAAATTAAAAAATCAACTTATACACAAAGAAAAGAAGTTATAAAAATTAAGGGCATAAATTAATTTACTTTACCTTATTATCTTATCTTATAAGTGTTTATGAAAAATTTAATCGAAGACGTCAAGCATGTGTCCTGCTTCTCCAGCGTGGTTCAGCCTCCCCCATTCTTTCATTCTATGAGCAGTGGCTTAGAGTGTTGAATTGATGATGAGGAAACATGTTATGTACTTCTTCAGGAATAGAAGTTTGCGTACTAATGTGATACACATGTTTATGTTGGATTTTATAAACAGATATGTAATCATTTTATACGGTCAAGTTTGACTTGACTTAAATATATTGGTCGCTAACCATTTTCTTGGTGACAAGGGTGGTTCAACTTGTAGTTTTTCTTACATTAAAAAAATGTTTATATTAGCTGAAGCTAATCATCACAGTTTTATTCATTTGCTGTTGAAGTTAGGCAGCCAAATAATAGGTTGAAGGGAAAAGTGAGATGTACCAAATGCCAGCAAAAATTAGTCACCCTACAGTATGACAGACCCACCCACTAACGCCTTGCAACAGATGAATTCTCAATTATACATTTTATTTTATGCCGGAAGAACATAATACAGAGTTAATAGTTATTTTGGGACATAAAAGTCGTAAATATTGTCACATTCTCAAAATTTAAAAAATATTAAATAAGTATATAAAATTTCAAATAAGTTTTGAAACTTAACTATTTGCAGTTATTTTAATTTTTAAATAATATATATAACTATTATCACTTTAATTATATTATTATTAAATTTTGAATTAATGTGATTGTCATTTTTCATTTTATTTAATATTTTTTATTTTAAGAATTTATATAATTATTCTTTCCAAATTCAAGGATCAAACAAACATTTTACTTAAAAATATTAGGATGTTCATTAGATCGGATCAATCAGACAAATTTGAACCAACCGATTAAATTGATTTTGAAATTTTTTTTTCATATCCAACCCAAACCAAACCTGATGTTAATTGATTTGAGTAACGGATTTACATATTTAAAATCTGAATCAAATCAATTAATTTATATATTATTATTTTTATTTGATTAACATTTAAAATGTATGTATCACTTTTATTATTTTGACGACATTTTTGTGTTATAATATGTAGATTTTTTTCATTTTTTCTTAAATATACTGAAAGAAATCTAGAGGAACTATATTGCTATATATTGAATATCGTTTTCACACACTATATTTTTGAAATTCTTAAGTAGATTAAGAAAAGAAATTAAGAGAAACTATATTACAAATCTACCAATTTAGTTAAATTTAGACAATATATCAACTTAGTTAATGTTAAAAAATTTATTTACTTTGAAAAAAAGTTATTTTTTTAAAAAAATTATTAAATATCCAATGACCCGAATTAAACCAATTTGATAATACTAAATTGGTTCAATTTGAGTTAAATAAAAAAATTATGAAATTTGAATTAATCTAAATTAATTAAATTTAATTGGTTCGAATTGGATTTTGACTCAAACCTGAACTAATCCAACCCTTGAATACCTCTTAAAAAGTATGTGTTAAATACAACGACTTAACATGTCACTATACTTATTACCAGGGCTGACCCAAACATAAAGCAGCCTAAGCCCTAACTTTAGGCCCCCAATAATATTTTAGGCCGGCCCGTGTAAAATAGGCCCCCAAAATATTTTTTCTACTTATAAAGCTTAATGAATTAATTGTATCAATACTAACTTTGGTTTGTTGGTCATTCATTATCTAAGCCTAACATTGTAAGGACTGGGGTTTGATCTTAGTATTGTAATTTTTTGCTGAAAGTTTCTTTTTTTGAGTTACTGTTAATTTTCTTATCACTCTCTCATCTTTAAACTAGGTCCACTTTACTATTAATTCCTCTTCCCCCACTAAATCAGGCCTAAATTTTTAATGTTATTTATCTACTTTCCTATTAATTCTTCTTCCCTCCACTAAATTAAGCCCCAAATTATGAACGTCATTGACTGAAAAGGCCTAACTTCAAAATTCGCTTTAGGCTTCAAAATATGTTGGGCCGACTAGTTTAGTCTCTATGTAGTGGGAAGATGAAATAACAAACTACTAACCTAGGGTTCACATGCAACAATTATCTAGTTAATTAAACAACCTATACATGTATATGGTAATAAATAAAACAAATGAGATCATAAATCCCTTCATGGGGTTATATACATATATTGTACAGATATACAACTACATCAAATACATAACTATATACAAAATGACACTAATTGCCAGTCAAACATCTATATACAACCGAAATTGCATAACAACAATGTCACCATAAAATCAGTCATCTCTTTCATGATTCTCCAAAAATTAGGACAAGCCAGTCTTGCTAATATTACCCTACTCTCATACCATATATGATCGTTGCAATTCCAACAACAAGGAAAATAAGGATAAGCTTGTGAAAAGAATCAACATAGTAATCACAATTAAACAACTTACAACAATACCACATAGACAAATTAATTTAATACTCGAGACAACTTGACATAACTTTCAGCTTATCAACAATACAACTTACAACATAGGACAACTTATAACAACTTCATCCCAACAACATATTCAACACAACAACAATATACAACAAATGCATCATCATGCATACCAACTAAGAAATTTTCATATAGTAGAAGTGAGTAGTTTAAATAACTAGACCTGCCAAATCATAATGTATGACTTATTGCAACTAGGTCAAGTATAGGTAACATTTGACTTCAAAGAATGTGACTTTTACAACTTAAATTTGATTTCTTAGATTTTATCACTTAAAGTAGGGAGTCTATTACTACTATCTAGGTAGAATAGTTTGGGTATGAGCATACCACAATATTAACTTCCAACATTGAGTCTCTTATGGAATTAGTCTACCAACTACCCTCCAAATACTACATCATTTCGATACTCAGTTAGGGACTAAGTCCCAAGTCTTGTACTTTACTCAGTTAGTCACTTTATACATGTATGCCTCGACTTTACCCAAATACAAATTTCACAAAAAAAATAGAGGAGACAACTTAAATAGTGACCCATTCAAAAGTCAGCTTACTTATTAAAGGGTTTCCAATTAGGTTCTCGGAGCACTACAACTTATATCCACACTAAAATATTTTAATTTCTAAAACATATTTTACTCTCCCCTAGTTTTTATGTATCTCAACAAAGACATATATCTTCATCACATGCCAAACAACTTAACAACTTAATCAACTATATCATCATACAACTATACAACTTCATCATCTATCAACTTACAAATTAACAACATAATCATCATTAAATAGTCTATCAACTCAAAACATAATGAGCATCATCATACCATCTTCATCACACAACTTAATCATCATCTTTAAATCATAAAATAACTTAAGAATCACATTATAATCATGCAACTTGTGCCCAGTGTCATCCCTTGGATGCCTAATGCCATTGAGGTAAGAGGTTTCTTGTCTCGCCCACACTTGGTGCCAAACTAACCATGTATGATTGAGGCAAAGAGCCTCACACTCTCATACCTAGCCTGGAAAAATCCCACGTCCAACCCCAATTAGGCAAAGGACCTTTGTTTGACTTATGTTTGATGTCACTCCATTGACACTCAACATTGATCTAGGTAAAAACAATTCTCTCTCCTCATGTTTGACGCCATTCAAACTCATGTTCGATGTGGCTAAGTCAAAACAATATATTCAAGATCAATACCATCTTGTAGTAGTGGAAATGCAACATACAACAATAATACAATTCAAGATCATCCATTCTTATTCCAAAACACCAAAAAATCCAAAAACATAGACAACAAGTTCTCACCTTTCAAATTCAACATCAATACCATCCAAGGCACAACACAACAAAAACAATATATTCATCACAAAAAGTTAAACTACAAGCTTTTCTTACCTCAATTACTTTAGAATCAAGCAAAAAAAAAAAATAGGAATCCTCAAGAACCCTAAACTCTTACGACAACTTCTCTTTCTTCTTGATTTTGAGCTTCTCAACTTTGAATATTAACTTAGCCAACATAACACTACTTCATGGGAAGGATCGAGACGCTCCTATGAATTCAAAAGAAGAAAATAACTCTTTTAGCTTCAAAGCTTATATATCTAAACATCTTTTTAAAACCCAAAAAAATGAACTTATGAAGTTCACATTTTCTAAAAACTTTATATAACTTCTCTCATTTTTTGTCAACTTTGACCTTAACTCAAAATAATTTTAAATAATTAAACTCTTAAGAATTCTCAAATTCTTAGAGTCTTGAAACTTCCAAAAAAATCACATCAACATAAATCAAATAACATGCAGGATAAATAAAGCATATAACTCACACTATGGTGTTACAATTACAACAAAATATTAAAAATAAAATAAAATCTATTTATATATGTCAAAGCGTAAAATCTAATACAAGAGACTAGTGATAAATATGACAATCGGGTGGGATGGTAGCGAGTAGTAATCCCTATCATTCACTTTGTTTAGAATGAGTATAAATTTAGTGCGTATTTATGGAATTTTTTAATATATTTATTAGTATTTGTGGATATTTATTAAAATATATTTTTTAACATATATTTATAATAAAATATTTTTTTTTGGTACACTGGAA